AAATTCCAGTGAAGAGAATTCCGATTTCATTTCACCCGATCATGATTCGAGTTTCCGGCAAAGAGGATACAATTTCCGGCGAAGAGGATACAATTTCCGGCGAAGAGATTGTCGCGATTTGATCCTGGTTTGAATCGACGAACTGATTCTTCTGTAGCGAAGGAATCGATTTCACACTAGAGAGAATCGCAGATTCTGGTGAGAAGCGAATGAATCGATTTCAGCTCACCGACGATTGAGAGATTTCTTATCCGCATATCGTCGTCGATTCATATCATTCGTCGATTCACATCGTCAATTCGCATCTTTCATCATATTCGATTAAGCTCAACGGCGAATATATCAGGTACGTAGAGTCACATGTAGCATTTACATCTACAACGATGATTCACATCTTTCGTCGATTCACATAAGGCAATTCATCTGTCATTATAGCTGTTCGACAACTGCCGTTGTTTTAGATTAAAGGATATCTCTTAGTTTAGGCGTCGCAAAATGGTGATAAATTGTGTTGGGAGAAAATGAGAAGAATGTTTGTTCGGATGAGAACTCATTTTATATACTTAGGAAGGCATTCCTAAATGATAAAATGAACTGATTGCTGCTTGTTTTCTTTCTTGACAGGCTCTATTGAAACAAATATAATTGAAGTTTTATGTGTTTTTGGTGAGTGGAAGAAAAATGAGAAGCAGGAATGGGATTTTCTAAAGGATGAAAATGAAGGATCAACAATTTTTGAGTTTGATGAGCATCATACATTCAAGGATTTAGTTGAGATGGTTCATGATGATTTAGGGATTGATTCCAGAGCTGTTATTGCACTTAGCTATGAAGCTCCCAAGAAGATGAGGTTGGTGGTCCAGAATTGTCCACCCGTGTTTCTAAAAAACGATCGCCAACTGAGGAGTTTCATCAATATAATCAAAACATCATCTGAAGTTATTCCATTACATGTAACTGTGACTGAAGATTCTTATGCACATGGAATTCAACAGGTAAACATCATCTGAATTGATCATAAATATGTTATACGTATTCTTAAATAATCCCTAAAAGCTTTCTTTGTGTAGCTAACTCATGGAGCAAATGGAGACGACAATTTAACATCTAAGGCAAACAGATTTACGGGTGTTGATACATTACGGCTTGTGTCAAATCTTCTCATTTATCATAGTGGCATTTCAAATTCAACCCAACTCACACAAATGTCTGCAACTACACCTACTGTTTCTCATCTGGATGTTTCATTCAATCAAGGAAATCAACAGGTAATGCTAGCAATCTCTCTTTGTTAACGGTTCAAGAATAATCCTGGTTTTATTTAGATATGGTATCCTAAATGTGTTATACGTATTCCTAAATAATTCCTACAACCTTTCTTTTATGTAGCTAACTCATGGAGCAAATGGAGACGACAATTCAACAAGTTCTACAATCGATACTCTGCGTTCTGCTCCTGACCTTTCTCCTATAGGCATGTCACATCCCTCAGTTTGATATTTATGTCAACAAACACTTCAAGAACAAAGACGAGTTGATGCTACAAATGAGGAAATGGGCATTGGATTGGAAGTTTGAATTCAGATCAGCATGGTCAAACAAGTCGAGGGTGGTTCTAAAATGTGTTGACCCCAATTGCACATGGAGGATGCGTGCAACAAAGCTCCTTTCTTCTGATTTTTTTGTGGTGAGGACTTATGTAAGTGAGCACAATGTGATACAACTAATAGGAACGCCAACCATAAGCACGCAACTGCCAAGGTGCTTGGCACTCTTATGTGCAGCAACTATGGAAAGAAGAAGTATGGTCTTAACCCGAAACAAATCATGGATCAAGTCAGACTCGATCATGGTGTACACATTGGATACAAACAAGCATGGAGGGTTAAAGAGTTTGCTCAGGATTTGATCAGAGGGACTCCCGAGGATAGCTATCAAAACCTCTCAAAGTGGTTGTTTAAGGTTCATGAGAAAAACCCTGGATCCAAGGTTTATTTTGAGATGGATCCAAATGGAAAAAAATTCAAATACAGCTTTGTTGCTTTTGGTCAATCGATAAGAGGATTTGAGCTGATGAGAAGAGTCATTGCTGTGGATGATACTTTTCTTAAGGGAAAATTTAAGGGAACATTGCTTGGAGCTAGTGCACAGGACGGAGATTATTCTTTGTATCCGTTTGCGTTTGAGATAGTTGACTCTGAAAACAAATATGCGTGGACCTGGTTTTTTAGAGGACTTAAGACCGTGATCCCTGATGCATCTGATTTGGTCTTTGTTTCAGATAAAGCTCATTCCATTGCAAAGAAACTTTCAGTGGTTTATCCGTTTGCACATCATGGTATTTGTAGAATTCATCTTTTGAGGAATATAACACCAAAGTATGGGAGAACTGGGTTGTTGCCTTTTGTAGAAGCTGCAGCTGACGCTTACACTCGTCATGAGTTCATTGGCATCTTCAATGACATAAGAAGCAGAAGCCCCAAATTAGCTCCATATTTGGAAGAATCCGATTTTGCAAAGTGGGCTCGCTGTTATGCACCTTTGAACAGGTAAGTACAACGTTTTAAGAAGCTATGACTGATTTTAGGAATGTTATCCTAAATTGTTGCTCTGTCTTTTTCTCTTACTTGTGGTCTTCTTGTATGCACTTTCGAACACGTACAATATCATGACAACCAACATCGCGGAGTCTCTGAATTCGATTTTAAACTTGGCTCGTGAGTTGCCAGTAATGTCTCTATATGAGACCATTAGGTTAACTCTGACAACATGGTTTCATGAACGTCGGGAAAAAGCTCTTAAACACAAAAAGCTTGTCACACCACGCGTAGCGAAGATGATGTTAGAGAGATACAATGCTGCGATGAAACTTGATGTTTTCCAAGTAGATCGGTATGAGTTTGAAGTAAAGGACGAGACTCGGAGGTACATTGTTCATCTGGAAAACAAGCAGTGCACTTTTCTCGTTTTTGACATCGACAGAATCCCCTGTGTCCATGCTATTGCTGCAGCTAAACGTACAAACAAAGACGAGAACAAGTATGTGGATCAGGCTTACTTGACGGAAGCATGGGCTAAAGCATATGCTGAGAGCATTCATCCATGTGGAGATTTGACAAATTGTGATTTCCCTGATACTGTAGTAGTAAATTCATGCGCACCACCTACTTGTAAACAAACTAGTGGGAGACCTCCGACAAAGAGAAAGAGATGAGTTGGAGAGTTTGGTGTACCCGGTTCAAAATCCCAAGGACACAAATGTAGCTGATGCAACATAGGAGGACACAACAGGAGTACATGCAGATCACTTTTATGAAGGTTTTCAATTTTACAGGAAGATATTACAACATCTTTTAGCAAGACGATTGCTTCTTTATTGGTTTAGGAATATACCATACGTGTTTAGGAACACTTTCCTAAATATTTTATTTTCAAACACTTGTAAAGGTTTAGGCCTTGGTTATCATTTGTTTGAATTTTCTATTTGTGATGAGATTCTTATAACAATAGTATACTATATTATTTGATTCAGTAGACTTGAGAAGTTTTACAAAGTTTAAGGTTTGAGAGTTAAACAAGGAAGATTAAGAACTTGAGAGAAAGTACAGATTCAAACTTTATTATTGATTCTTTAGTCTTTTAAAATGTTTTGCGAAGAATAATGTTTGAGAGTTAAATAAAAAAGCTTAAGCGGGCTTACTTATTTCTAAATTTTTGGTATGGTTTATGAAATTTTCGAACAGTTTAGGAATCCTTTACACATTTTTAGGAACAACTTCCAAAATATATATATTCAAACAGTCTTAAATGTTCATGCCTTGTTTTATGATTTGTTTTAATTTTTTACACGTTAAATGGTTTTGACATCATAATGAGAGCCCAAAACTCTTTTTTGTCTTGGTTTGGGCTTGACTTAAGAGGGTTTCCTAGACCAATATAAATTTTTAGAATAATTTAGGAAGTTTTTCGAACCAATTAGGAAGCCATTCAACATATTTAGGAATAGAGTACTAAATAACTAAGGCATGAACAATATCAAAGGTTAAGGCTTAGGTTATGACTTTTTTTGAGGTTTTTTTTAGTTTTGGTCATTGTTTTTGATTTTTTTTATCGAGGATTTTTGAGTTTTGGTCGGGGTTTTTTGAGTTTTGGTCGAGGTTTTTGAGTTTTGGTCAAGATTTTTTGAGTTTTGGCCAAAGTTTTTTGAGTTTTGGCCAAGGTTTTTTGAGTTTTATCCGAGTTTTTGAATTTTTTGGCCGATGTTTTGTTTTAGGCCGAGGATTTGATTTTTGGCCGAGGATTTGATATCGCGCAACTCTATTTTTGGTTTTGGTTTTGGTTTTAGACGAGGTAAATTATTTCGAAGGATATTCATAAATTGGTTAAAATGTTTCCAAAATCTCTTAAGATTCAAATTGGTTCATTGGTCTCGGAAGATCTTCATAAATTGGTAAAAATGTTTCCAAAATACTCGATAAGACTTTCTAAATTCTGAATTTCTGTAATGATTTTCATTGAAGATCGCGTTTGATTACAACAAGGCAATACTTGATTATATACAACTCTTTTCATAAAACCAACTTGACAAAACGACACAACACAAGCAAATGACTATTGAATCCCTTGATTACTCTTCTTCTTCTCACTTGATTATTTTTTTCTTCGTTGCAGACTTGAATGCTTCAATCTCTTCACACTTGAATCCTCTGATTAATTCTTTCCCAGGACTTCCTCTTCATATTCTTCGCCACTTCCCTGTGCAAATCTGTTCTTTCCAACATAAGCCAATTCATAAAAGCATACAAATATTAACTAATTTAACAACCAAATATAAACCATTAATACAACCAAATATAAACTTATAAAAAAACATAGTTCACATAAATAAAGTATTCTGCATCCGTAGTAGCACATAGATAGATTTTCATAAAAAAAAAACATAGATAGAGTCAGAGTTCCATAAAAGACGACTTAAAATAAAGATAGATAAACAAAAGCAGTTATTTTTCAGGCCCCCCAGCGTGCTCGACCATCCATGCACGAGCAACCGAATCGAACGCTGCTTTGTCGTCCCAATATAGCTTGGCAATCGTTTCGTCATAGTGGTCATCATCGCCAATCTCTGGTGCAGTTAACTTCGCGTGAAGTTCAATGAGCATCTAATTTCAAAGAATTTTAAAACCAAATTAGTAACAGACAATAACGATTCATAAACCAATAATTGGAAAAGGGTAAAACGATTACTCGGTTGATTGTGTAGATGGGCGAGAAGTACGCGTTCTTCAACATCTTAAGAAAGATGTTTCCATGTTCACCCACGTTTGGGTGGAAGATTTTGGTGTTGAACGAGACCTGCAAAAACATCAGTATTATAAGGAATCATTTCAGAGTTCTAGAATACAAAACTATAGTTTATCAAACCCTTACTAAAATAGTAATATGGGAAGCATTTCAACATCCAAAAGCCTAATCATACATTCGGCGGCTTAAAGGGGCATTCAGGAGGGATGTGCATGGTGAGTTCGAACACGCCGTTTTCGTAAGGGGAATCTTTTGGCCCCATTAGCATCACTTTCCAATGGTACAAATCTCCATCAACCGGTTCTAATCAAATCGTCAGTAACAGATGTTAGTAGAAAGAAACTGTATTCTTAGAATTTCGAAGAACACAAATACAGAAACGAAATACCTGCACTGAAAATATCGCTGTTAACTCTCTCGAGTTCCTTCATCTGCCTCATGATCGTGTTCAAAGTATACATTTTCAGAGATTTTTAGGGATTCCAAAGAACACAAAGATGGAAGTTTTTTTTTCCAGTGTGTGGAAGTTGGTTTTTACGAAGGAGGATGAGTCTCATTTTATAGAGGATGAGAGGGAGTCGGTTTTCAGAGAGGAGAAAGGGTCGGTCAAAGGGGTCTCGTAAATCGGAAATTAGAACAGTTGCATTTTTCAAAAAGGTAATTAATTCATTTTTGACTGCACCGTTCTCTCTGATTAGTCATGTCTTAGTCGTGTCTCGTTCAGAAAAATGATCATTGCTTATTTCTGAAATTTCATTTTTGTATAGAAGATAAGTCTTATTAACGTATGTATAGAATTCTTGGTTTTAGTATAAAATTCTTGATTTTGTATGAGAACTTCCTAAGTCTCGTTAGTTTCTTGATTGTTTTCATTAGTATCTTTATTTTATACTATTCATTTTAGTAGGTCTTTATTCATTTTTAGGAATTATTTACTAAATTTTGCAAATGAATTATGAACTTTAGATTTTAATGGTTTACGAAGTTACGTAAATGATTTTCTAAGTTTTAATGATTTTCTAAGTTTTGACTGCACTGTTTTCTCTGAGTAGTCGTGTCTTAGTCGTGTATGTTCAGAAAAATGATCATTGCTTATTTTTTGAAATTTCATTTTTGTATAGAATATAAGTCTTATCAACGTATGTATAGAATTCTTGGTTTAGTATAGAATTCTTGATTTTGTATGAGAACTTCCGAAGTCTCGTTAGTTACTTGATTGTTTTTGTTAGTTTTTCAAGCATTTTAGTAGGTCTTTATTCATTTTTAGGAATGATATTTTAAATTTTGCAAATGAATTATGAACTTTTAGGTTTTAATTGTTTACGAAGTTTTGTAAACTATTTTCTAAGTTTTAATGATTTTCCAAGTTTTGTAACACTTATCATATGATCTTTGTAAGTTTTGTAATACTTATCATATGACTAGACTCAGCTAAATGTATTTAGACTCAAATTACTTGATTATAATAGTATCAAGGAAATAGAATACCTGAGCAGTGTCATACTATATATGGTGTGCTTTCCACACTCCTTCGGCCACCCGGTGTAAGACTTGATTCTGCACTATTAAATACAAATACAAATTGAGACATAAAAGCAACGACAAATAATGTTAGCTTTCCTTAACAAGGTCTGGCCATTCCTAAAACTTAAGTCGGTTCCAAAACACAAGATTAAGTTCTAGTAATTCCTAAATCCAAAAGCATAAGATAAAAACCCGAAGGAAGGTGTTTCATCCATAAGACATCCTAAAAGGTTAAATCCTAAATCCAAAAGCATAACACAATCCTGGAAGATGTTCCTAAATACGATAAAAGAAATCCTGAAAAGATTCCTCAAAGCTTCATAGGACAGAATTCTTCATATATCTCGCATGCAAGCTTTGTTTTGATGCCATGTGCATTGGCATCCTCAAGCTTTGTCATGTCTCGAATGCCCATAGAATGACATTCGAGAATCTTCAAGATAAACATGGCTGAGTTCGCAGGAAGATTGGTCTTCGGGATGTTTTTACTGGATAACTCTTCAATGCTATAAGGAACCATATCCTTATCCGTCAGTGTTCTACTTGCAGTAACACTCAGTAGAACATGAATCATCTCTGCCCCAAAAATATCAGTTTTTGTTCAGTCAATAAAAGAAAAACAGAATCATAAGAAAAAAATATATTGATACTACGTAGGTAGTGTTTTTCATACATGTGAATTCCTTCACATCGTTCATGATGACATCGATGTTGTCAGAAGGGAGGCCAGACCTTACAACAGTGATCTGTCTTGACTTAAACTCGATCACCATCCCAATCCAGTGGTCGCTCTTGTATGCGAGGCCGTAAACTACATCCACATCTGTTCCCCATATTTTCTCTGGCGGTTTTTTCCCCGTAGTAACCGCCAACACATCATCGAGAAACATTTAGAACCTTTCTTAGGCGTTTTAAAGCTGGAGTAGCATACTGAGAGTTTTGCAAAGAATTGAGGGTTGACGAATGTAGCTAATGGGAGATGATTATTATGGAAGTGTGCTGCATGGGTGTCCCTTCTCCTTGCAAACATCAACATCGTGGCTGATATGTGCTGCAAAAGAAAACAAGTTAGGAAATGAATTTAGGAACCTCTTCCTAACAGTTGCAACTATTCATAAAATTTCAGAAACAATTTTTTTACATCGTTTAGAATGACTTCTTAAACGCAGAAATAACTCATAATTCAGAGGCTTCTTCGGATCCTCTAACTTATTGAACCAGAGAGGCTTTACTACAATGTGAGTAATCTGAAATCTGCATTTGTCACAATAGAAAATAATAAGCAAGAAACAATATGAGATAACAAATATTATATAACAACTGTACTTACCGTTCTGTCTTCCTCTTCCAATCGTCCAAGGAAGTTAGTCTCCTCAAATCAGGTGTCAGGAATGGATCAATAACCACATTAACCTTATGCGTTACAATTAAGGCTGGGTTTTTTGGTCCCTGGAATGGAGTCTTGTTTGCCTGATTGGGAACGGGTATGCGTTTTCTCCTTCTCATGAAAGCCTCGTCCTGCTGAGATTCTTTGTCAGTAGCTCTATGGTTCTTTTTATATCTCTTTTTCGCCTTTCCTCTATCATCACCAACCACTTTCCTTTTCGCAGAAGCAGCAACAGTAGAATCAGTCTTATTTGATTCAGCGACCTGGTTGTCCTGCAAGTTAAATATTTGTTTGGAAACATTGGGATACCTGCTTTGGGAATGGTTTCCCGAATAACGTAACAATCTTCCTAAATCCTAAAACATGTTCAAGTTTATGCAAAACAAAATACCTTTTCTCTCTGAATCCATTCACCGTTCTCCCACTCCATTCCACGCCGAAGAGCCTTTACTGGAATCTGTTGAATTTCTTCAAACTTAGATATCTTGACCCCGTATATGTTGTCAGTCCTGACAACTACCACATTCCGTGGCCACCATCCATCATTGAAAAATGCATCCACTTCTTGCAGAAGATCCGTCTCTTTTGCATTATTTTTCAATACCGGTTGTTTAGGACGAACTATATTTTTCTTCACACACTCCAAAAGTTTCTTCTGTTTTGTCTTTTTATCAGCGTCGAGGTGTGAATACTCAACAGTGTAGTCATCATTCTTTGTATTAATCAAAGTCCCTTCAAACCACCCACCATCTTGAGATTTAATCTCTACTTGAGCGCCTATTTCAATGGGATGAAGCTTAGGATCTGTTCTATCCTGCAAGAGTTTCAATCAATCAAGGAAATCAACAGTCAATGCAAGCAATTATAGGTAGTGTTTGCACGGTTCAAGAGAAATGCTTGGTTTTTTAGATATGCTTTACTAAATAACTTATACGTATTTCTAGTAAAGAGCTTACCTCATGTGTGTGTTCTTCAGCAGGAGGACAATTGTCTTTGTCTTCATCTTTGCTTTCAGGCGACACATGTGTTGGTTCTTCATCTTTGTTTTCAGGACAATCATAAAACTTTTCTTCTTCAACCTAAAACACAAAGCACATAATAAGCATTAGCTTTTAATGAACCATTACCATACGTTTAGTTATACATGTCTAAATTCATCATTTAAAACAAAACCATCAGTATTGATTTTTTACACATTCCTTATGAATCCTTATGTCCTCAATTTTGAATTCGTGTATTTCTTGAGTTTTATGGATGAGGACAGATGCTTTATTTTCTCTAAGATTTATTAAAGTCACAGCTCCTCTTCTCGGGTTCCCTCTGTAAAAGACATATACTTCTTGGTTTACAGCTAAATCCTCCAATCTTAGTAAATTATCCCTTGGGCTACCATCTTCTGAGGTCAGTTGAAATTTTTCCCAAGAAGATGGAATCTGGCTAAAAAAGTATGAACTAGCCTGCAAAATCAAGAAACTAAACCCCTAAACTTTAAACTCCTAAAATTTCATGGAATTTGTGTCACAGGATTAGAAAGGCTTTATACCTGCGCTACGTTGACATTGGCATCTGCGCAGGAAGGTATCTGATTCTCTTTTTCTTTTGACATCTGCAAAAATAATGTTTTTTTAGGAACCGTTTGTTTTTACAGTTTATGAAAGACAAAGCATCAACCATTAGTGTTGGAGTCTCCGTGGCATTTAGTGTTGGAGTCTCGCTGATATTTTGTGTTGGAGTCTCGCTGATATTTTGTGTTGCAGTCTCGCTGATATTTTGTGTTGGAGTCTCCGGGACCTTTTCCATCTGCAAATATTCATGTATTTTCAGGAAACATTTCTTACAACATCTTATCATCATCATCATCATCATCATCATCATAATATACATTATGTACAAGTCAGCAATTTTACCTCAACATCATCACCACAGTTTTGTGTGTCATACTGCGTCTGCGTTTTGTCAACGTTTTATGTGCTCTGCTGCTAATATTTTAGAGTAACAAAATAGTTAGTTTTTACTTGAAAATAGAATGATGCTTTTTTAAAGTAAGACAAGTCATATAGTTTACTTCTTCACTGAAAAAAGGTTCCTGAGGGGTCAGATTGGGAAGTTGAAATTCATCATCGCGCAACTACAAAATTCTTAAAATATCACTATCAGTCTCTCCTAAAATATTTTAGGAATGTAATCATAAATTATAGTATACCTTCATAACTTAAGGATAGTAATGCCTTCCTAATTTAGAGAGAAGGCATATAGATTACCTCTTCGGGATCTTCAGGAGTTGGACTGGGGATACGTTGTTCTCGAGGGGTTTGAATTGGGTGCGGAACATCATCACAACGCAGCTGCAAAAATTTTCAAATACCATTTAAACAATATAAGAACGCATTACCTCTTCATTGGAACGATCTGTTTGAGCAGCATCTCTGCTAGGAGACTTACTACCGAAAGTGTTCTGTTGCTCACCATCTGTCTTAGACTGCAAGAACAAATAGAGACATATCAAATATCACTTGAACAAATCCAATCCAAATTCAAAACAAGAATAAAATAAGACAAAAAAACTATCTTACTTGTTTGATCCCCATCTTTTCTTCTATATTGGACAAGCGGATATT